CAGCTATATGTCTGCTTAAAGTAACAGCCTATAGTCCCACTGCCGGTCAAAAGCCTCCTCTGTACAATGGACATCACTGCGAATTGGCGGACTTCAAGTATCTTCGAAATATGCTTTTTTTTGTTATTATTTCGAAAATATGTTTCCTCGCGGTTTTTTCCTTCGCCGCTGAGCACGTGATAAGTCAGCACATTTGACAATTTTATTGGTGCCGTCACCAGGCATCGAACTCGGGTTGCTCGAGTGTATTAAATTAAAAACGAGCGCCCGGACACTGAGCTATCACGGCTCGTGTTATCCCTAATCTTTGTATATTATTTAGCTATTAGAAAAAAACGTGGTATTTATGTCATGGTATTCTGTTTAAATATTGTCGTCTAACAATTGGTATATGATAGATGCTTTTCCTATGTTGTTTGGCATGTCGAAGTTTTCTTATATTGCTTAAACGTAAAATGAATTATATAACCGTGAATACCTAACTGGAGATTTTGCAGATAAGAGTGCGTTTCGCGATAGCGTTACCATTGAAAAAAACTGCATATTTATCAGGCAACGGATAAGAGCAAATCAGTAGGTATCCACTTAGAGTATGGATAACGTATGTTCACGACTAACATATACAGGGGGTGGTCAGTTCGAGGCATACTCGTTCAAACGATTCGACTCGTAATTTCACATCGGGAAACTAATTCATTACTATAACATAACGAATGACTTACGTAGATTATGCAAACGTCTGTCTATTCTTTTTTTACGGAAGACGCTGGCGATTCACCTGATGTCATGTATTGTCCGCCGCCCATGGAGATTGCAAGATTTGCAACATGCCCATTCGTGCAACCACGGAGACTGTTGCCTGGTCCATTCACAGTAATGTGCAGCGATAAAATGCCTTACCGCCATCTAGTGGCTATGGACAAAAATATTTTTCTTTTTTATCAATCCTTATGCTGTATTGTACCATCGTTAGCCATTTATAACCAAGTCTGCCCGTTTGCCAACTATATCGGATTATAAAGGGACTAGCCAATAATATTCTTATAATGTGTTTTTCTCGAATTCTCTTATCGATGGATTATGGGCGAGGCGGATAAGAGTTAATCGTCGTTTAGCATATGCATTGACCAATCTTGACTTTGCTTTTTTATCAGGTTTTTATTACCTTAGCAAGTTGTTAATTACGTATATATAATGAAAGGCGGTTGCGTGTCTGTTTTGGAATCCTCTACGGCACGCGTAACGGAATTAGATTTGATTCCATATTCACCTATGACTCGTATTCAGGATTCTGAGAACATGATGAAATTATGCTCAATTTTTAGGGTTCCGCACCCAAAGGGCAAAACGGGACCCTATTACTAAGACTTCGCTGTCTGTCACTAGGCTATATCTCATGAACTGTGATAGTTACGACAGTTGACATTTTCACAGATGATATATTTCTGTTGCCGCTTTTACAACAAATACTAAAAAACAGAATAATTAAATATGTAAGTGGGGCTGCCATACGAGAGACTTGATTTTTTGCCCGTTTTTATAGATAATCGGTTCCGTTTCCTTTGGCGCGGCTCGCACATGACCGGGTTTTTTTTTTTTTTTTTTTTCGTTTTTTTTTAAACAGTGTCCCTTACGACATCCTCGCCCTTTATGTTTATCCTGTGTCGTAAGTACGTTTTACATACATAAAACACCCAGATGCGAAACAACTATCTGTGGGTCACACACAGTCGTCCCGACAGCTGTTTTTGATATTAAACCACTAGCTGTTAACCGCGACTTCGCCCGCGCCGCCAATTGCAATTAAATGAGTTTTTTTTATCACACACCAGGATATCTCGCAGATGGCTGAGTTTTTTCCTACTTAGTTGACACTTATCATTACCTATATTTTGGACAATTCACACAATATCTTTATTCATTATAGCCTATGTGTTATTCTGATGTGCTTATACATTTATTATATTACTTATTGCTTATACATTATATTCTAAAGTTTCATTAAAATCCATTCAGCAGTATTTGTGTGAAAGAGTAACAAACATCCATCCATACATACAAACTTTCGCGTTTATAATATTAGTAAGGAAGTAAGGATTAGTAAGGATTGCGTAAACCCACATATACATAAAGATGAAACAATCTGTGTGTATGTATGTTCTCTAAGGACTCCAAAACGTCTGGACCATACTTGTTGAAATCTCCAACTAATCACCAGATCAGCCCAGCGGGGCACCACTGCGAGTTTTGGTATCATTCGGGTCGAGAGGTTTTTTTATCGTTTATGTTATCGCTGTGTGAAGCCGGGGCGCGTCGCTAGTTTTATTGAGTAGTTATTTATTTACCAAAAATTGTAAAATGGAGGAAAACTGATGGTAATTAATAACTAACCAACGCACGCAAGGCACTAGTGTTTTATTCGACACTACCTTTTCGCCAGCGGCTTCGCTCGTGTTGAAGCCCTTAAATAAATATCTTTCTTTAACCCTTCAACCCTTTACAACACTTTCTTCCAATTAAAAATAGCCTATGTCCTTTCTCAGGCTCTAGACTATCTGTGTAACAAATTTGATTTAAATCGTTTCAGTAGTTTTGGCGTGAAAGCGAGACAGACAGACAGAGTTACTTTCGCATTTATAATATTAAGTATTATATGACTATACAAGAATGGGCAGGCTCGTCCGGGTAAGTACCACGACCTCACAGAACACCGGCGTCAAGTGGAAGTATAATACTTTCGCGTTTCGTCTGGCGAGTGAGGGGGTTGGAGCCCAATTTCCAAAAGGGTTTCAACGCATCTGGAACCCTCGGGTGTAGCATAATTATGTCCATGGGCGGCGGTATTCACTTAACATCAGGTGAACCGTCTGCTCGCTTGGCAACTCTTCACATAAAAAAGTGTATATAGTATAAATACGATATTTTTCTAATCGCTAATAATATTACGGATAACACGAGCCGTGATAGCTCAGTGTCCGGGAGCTCGCCTTCTATTTAATATACACGAGCTACCCGAATTCGATCCCCGGAGCGGGCACCAATGAAATTGTTAATTTTAAGTTCTCTTTTATCACGTGCTCGGTGGTGAAGGAAAACATCTTGAGAAACGAGAATACGTCACGTTAAATCGACGAAAATGGAGGCATTTATATAATTATGTGTGATCATAGCGTAGCACCGTTTACTTGAATCGTTCGAGTGTTCGCACTTTACAAACGACCTTGACGCGGTGCGCGTGCCCACTGCGAGCGGTTGTAGGAGCGGAAGCGATTTTCGAGCGGCCGCAAGTAACGGGAGCGAGCGGTGGCGGGTTAGGTACTAGGATTAACGCAAATCTGGTTCGATCCTGATGGATAAGACTGTGGTAGGGCAACGCAACAGCTTAGCTGTTGCACGAATGGGCAGGCTCGTCCGGGTAAGTACAACGGCCTTGCAGAAGACCCGCGTGCAAGTGTTGTACTGTCGCGTTTCCTCTGGCGATTGTTGTAATCGCGGCTCAAGTTTAAAAAGCTTGTCAAAGCACCTACAGCTGTTGTTGCAGATGGCGCCATGGGCAGCGGTGATCATTTGAAAAATATCAGTATAAATATGTTCCGACACATTTTTACACAACGTTCCCTAGTCCCAAACTAAGCAACGCTTGTACTATGTATATTAAAAAAGTGATAGAAGATCGAACCCACACCCTCCGGCGCAAGAGGCAGGCGCACTACTCTCCACGCCTATCGGGGTTTAACATCTGTTTCACCGCTAGCAACAAGTTTTCACTTTAAAAATTCCGCTCCGCCAATACTGCGACCGCACACAGCGCTGTTATGCCGAAAGGATTAAGATAAACGTCTCCAGCGTTTCGCTCGCTCACCATAGTTAAAGTGGCGTGTCGTAACTTCCATTGGCTCAGCGGTCACTGCCTCGGTACCGCGGTAGTTGGGTTCGAATAGATGGCAGAGGGCGATGTCTATCGACGTTGCAAACGCCGCTGCTCTTTTCTTGAATCTAGAAGCTTTTATTATTAGACTAGCTGCTGCCCGCGACTACGTCTGTGTAGAATAGGCTGAAGGCGTTACATTCGAACAATAAGACAGATATACATAAAAATATGTATATAGATTATAGTCTGTGTTATTCTAATGTATTAGCTATTTTATTGTAAAGTTTCATTAAAATCCATTCAGTAGTATTTGCGTGAAAGAGTGACAAACATCCATCCATACATACAAACCTTCGCCTTTATAATGTTAGTAAGGATGTGATTTTTCTTCAGCAAAAGTGTTACGTATATTTTTTATTGTTTTTGGCAATTAAATTCTTGCCTCTCCCCGCATCTCGCGTGTGGCAGTGTGGTCGATTAGAAAAATACCTTTACATCAGTCCCGTGGTAGTGGAGCCTATGAGACAGTCGCGAAATCTTAACAGGACTAGCTAAATTTCTCTACATAGTTACTACTTTTAAATAAATATACATCTCGTGTCGTACAACCTTATCTAATCCCGAACTAAGCAAAAAGCTTAAATTAAGATTACTAGGTAACTTGATAGATATATTTAAATATACTTTTGTTTTGTGAATGAAAACATGTTATTGACATGTACATACTCCAAAACCAGAAAAATACTGAGTTCGTCCTCTAGTGGCTTCACTCGAGAACCTTTATTCCCAAACGGCTATCAGATGCAGCGATGACATGTGCAAATATGCGGGAAGTCCATGCAGGTGGCCCAGGATCGTGTTACGTGGCAGTCTGTGGGGGAGGCCTATGTTCGACAGTTGACTCTAACAGGCTGAAATGGTGACGATGATATCTCCTCCGGTAGTGGGTTCGAACCCATACTCTCTGGCGCAAGGCCGTACCGCTCAATCGAGTCAATTCATAAGAAACAAACCTTCGGCAGCATCAGCCGTGTCGGGAACCCTTAGGGATTCCGGCGCGTACGTCGCCAGTTCGAGCGCGGGCAGTATGTGCGGTTCAAATAAAAGATCTCCCCGTCCCCTCCAACAGTATGGCCGGCAGCACATCGAGGTGGCCAAGAAGCTGCAGAGGAGCGACAGCTCCGACGAGGAGGAGCTGACCGTTCCGGACGACAAGCCACCGTCCGCCGTCGTCAAGGAGAACGGCACGAACGGTGAGTACAGCCTTCCGCCAAACTCCTCACCCTCGTAAGAGCAACGCGGCAGCACCCGCTGCTAGTTAGGGGCCGTCAAATCATCACGTGAAGTTCTTTTAGCATTTTTTAACCCCCCAAGACCAGCACACCAAGGGGGAGGACCCCTTGGTGATATGCGGTGAGGTTTACGACTATCCCCCCACCCAAAATCTACGTGTCAAAATCAAAATCAAAATCAAAAATATATTTATTCAAATAGACGCTAGCGCGCTCTTATGAATCGTCAAATTTTACATCAAACATTATGTATATAGGTTCGTAAGGTACCACCGGTTCGGAAAGCAGTTTCTGTTGAGAAGAGACCGGCGAGAAACTCAACAGTTGCTCTTTTTCAAAAGTATCAATAATTTACAATATAATAAACAGTTATAATAGTCTGTGTCAATAGTGTGTTCTTAATACCTACAAAGGGTCTTAAAATTTTTAGTATACTATCGTTATGTACAGGTTTAGAGTATAATCTAAATTTATTCCGAAATTAAGACCACCGCAGACAAGGGCACACTACACGCCGCTTTTCGGTTTAGAAATCGCGCGATTGACGAGAAAATAAATACACGTGATATCTTACTACCCCCCCTGGTGGTCACACAAATATTCCCACCTCCCTCGACCACTAATTATTATCATCATAGGCACCGAAATGTTAAAGGACGCCGAAAGTGAACAAATATATCGATATTTATAAAAATATTAATACCTCGATATAACGAAGAGGAAATATCGATATATCGATATTATCCATTTAGGCCCTGTTGTCTAAAAAAATACCTATGGCAAGCATTCGAATCTACGGAATCTCACGGGCCACGCAGCAGCCTCGGCTGTTGCACGAATGGGCAGGCCCGTCCGGGTAAGTACCACGACCTCACAGAAGACCAGCGTAAAGTGAAAGTATGACAAATACTTTCGCGTTTCGTCTGGTGAGTGAGGTGGCCGGAGCCCAATTTTCAAAAGGTTGTCAACGCATCTGTAACCCTCGGGTGTGGCAGATCCATGGGCGGCGGTATTCAATTAACATCAGGTAAACCGTCCGCTCGTTTGACATGTATTCGCATAAAAAAAAATCTGTTCCGGATTCGAATTTGAAAAAAATACCGTTTTCGATACGCTTTCGTATATCGTTTCTTATATCGATATATCGGAACAAAATATATCGGCTAAAAACATCGATATGTTTACTGTACTTTATTTACGTCGGTCTTCCGCGAGGCCGTGGCACTTACCCGGTCGGAGCTGCCCGTCCGTCGTGATGTCGGGTTGCCCCACCACAGTCAAACACACCCCACTCCTAGGCACGAAGATGACGGTGATCGAGCGTCAGGAGATCCTGGGACCCTCGCCGGAGCTGAACTACAGGCGGGTGCAGAACGGGCACCGGGCGGAAGAGGGCACTGGCCAGGGCGAGGTGAGAAGTCCTAAGCTTTTCTTTTAATATCTAATGTCCCTTTAATTAAGAGCCGTGATAGCTCAGTGTCCGGGCGCTCGCCTTTAGTTCAATATACTCGAGCAACCTGAGTTCGATCCCCGGTGCCGGCACCAATGAAGTTTTTAACTTTAAGTGCTGACTTATCACGTGCTCCGCGGTGAAGGAAAACATCGTGAAATAATGACAAAAAATATATATATTTCGTAGATATGTGAAGTCCACCAATCCGCAGTGGGGCCGCGTGGTGGACTATGCCCTGATACCCTCTGTATAGAGGAGGCCTTTGCCCAGCAGTGGGACATGTATAGGCTGTAGATCTTTAAGAGTATTCCGGGCTCCGATGTTATAGATGGCTCGGTTATAGATGAATTTAACTTACACCGCCATCTGTTAAACTCTTATGGAACTCATAGCTATAACTCTTTATCATCCGATAAACAAATAATTTGCAATAAAATAATATTGGGACTATAAATTGATGCAAGCTTATCTTTCAAGTTGGATCAAACTGTGCAAATTTGATTAAAATCGGTCAAGTAGTAGTAGTTCATCGCGGACAAACAAACTGACACGTAATTTATATATATATTAAGAAAGATATACCATGTCCTGTATAAGAAAGATCTGATTCGCTATAATTGGCATGCTTTAACCCCATCGACCGGCACATAGCCTTTAAATGGATTGCTGCAACCTCATGAGAGTGTTCCGCATTCCAGACAAACCTGGAGTTCCACTTCTACCACTGCATGGACCTCATCAAGGCCGGTATGGAGTCTATTATCGAGGACCAGGTCACCTCGGTGTTCGAGGCCGAAGAGCTGAGGAGTTGGAACCTTCTCACCAGGACCAACAGGTAATGGAGTGCCAGATACTCTTCTTAGGGTTCCATACCCCATTGCTAAGACTCCGCTGTCAGTAAGTCTGTCTGTCACCACGCTGTCTCATGAACCGTGATAGATACGAGTTCTTTGAATTACTTGTAATTTTCACAGATGATGTTTCTGTTGCCGATATAACAACAGATACTGAATAACAGAGTAAAAAATAATTTGAGTGGGGCTCCCATACAACGGACATGATTTTTTTTTTGTCGTTTTTATAGATAATGGTACGGAAAGCTTCGTGCGCGATTCCGACTCGCACTTGGCCGTTTTTTCGATTTTCTCTTTAAAAGGCTGGAAAATAGTATGTATACTAAACTCCCTCAACGACTCTTGACAAAACTTCTCTAGACATTTCAATATATGTGGATCAGTGTTAGATAGAGTTTGTCATTACCTTAAACAAAAGGATGTTTCCTTATTTACTGCACAGTGTATTTTAAATTATGAGAGCGTCTTTACCTATTATAAAGAACTAGCCGCTGCCCGCGACTACGTCTGAGTAGAATAGGCTGAAGGCGTAACATTCAGACAGGAAGACAGATATGCATAAAATATGTATATAAATTATAGCCAATGTCTTATTCTGATGTATAAACTATATTATTGTAAAGTTTCATTAAAATCCATTCAGTAATATTTGCGTGAAAGAGTAACAAACATCCATCCATACATGCAAACTTTCGCCTTTATAATATTAGTAAGGATTCTAACGTAACTGTGGTAGGGCCACGCAACAACTGGGCAGGTCCGTCCGAGTAAGTACCACGAACCCACAGAAGACCGGCGTAGAAATAGAAGTGTCACACTTCTGCGTTTCGTCTGGTGAGTGAGGTAGCCGGGGCCCACTTCATTGAACGGTGGCAACGCGTCTGCAACCCTACGGGTGTTGTAAATGCCAATGGGTGGCGGTTGTCATTTAACATCAGGTGAACCGCCAGCTAGCTTGCCACGTTCTCACATAAAAACATAGTCCGGAATGGTTTCCTTTTTCCCCGCTCTTTGGGAAACGGTTTTAATATCGTCTCGTTCCCCTCCAGACAGTACGAGTTCCTCACCTGGCGTCTGACCATCATCTGGATGATGGGATTCGTGGTGCGCTACTTCTTCCTGCTGCCGCTGAGGATACTGATCTTCGTCATAGGAGTGAGTATCAGAATGGTGATCACGCGTGGTCCGTTCCAGCAGAACAGAGCTTGGTTTTGAGCAATTCAAGCAATTTCAAAGAGTTTCAAAGAGTTTAAAGGAATGCAAGCAATTTCAAAGGATGGGATCCTCTAATTACATCGTCTGCATGTGGCAGGCATTCCACAAACATGTCCGCTTGCTTGCTGTTCTAATGCTAGAAATACCAAAGGAATGAAAAATAATAAATGTACGCACGTAACACTTTTAGTAAAGAAGTAACACTTTTTTAGCATAACAAAGGAAATATGACAATACATGTTATCCCACCGCTAGCTTGGCGTTCTAATACTAGAAATGCCAAAGAAATGAAAAATAATAAACCACGATTGCCATATACCACAATTACCACCACGATTGAACCCTTAGACCACACAAGGGGGGAGACCTTCGGCCTATCTTACTAAGATCCTCTCTCTCAACCCTCCTTTACTAAGCCCCCCTACCCTATCGTACCAAGATATTCTGCCCGTGCCTCTCATACTCCCTCCACCCCTTTCTACAAAGATCTCTCCACCGCCCTTTCAACTATGTCCTGCTAAAATCTTCTTCCACCCCCCTTTTAACTCTGCTCTACTAAGTTCTTCTCCCCCTTCCACAAAGCATGAGAGCTTATTAAGATCTTCCCCTATACCTTTTTTTACTTAGATCCCCCCGATCCTCTCTTACTAAGATCTCCGCCCCCCAATTATCTCTTACCAAGATCTACGCCCCCCAACTTTCTCTTACTAAGATCTTCGCCCCTCAACTTTCTCTTACTAAGATTTCCGCCCCTCAATTTCCTCTTACCAAGACCTCCGCCCCCCAACTTTCTCTTACTAAGATCTTCGCCCCTCAACTTTCTCTTACTAAGATCTCCCCCTCGACTTTCTCTCACTAAGACGTTCGCCCCACCCCCCAGGTGTGGTGGCTGATAGTGAGCACGGCGTGCGTGGGCTCGCTGCCCGACGGGCCGCTGAAGCAGCGGCTGAACCACACCGCCTCGATCCTCAGCTTCAACTTCCTCTCGCGCTGCATCTCGATGGTGATCACGTACCACGACGGCGAGGAGAACCGCCCGCGGAGCGGCATCTGCGTCGCCAACCACACCAGCCCCATCGACGTGCTGGTGCTCATGTGCGACAACTGCTACTCGCTGGTGGGTGTACCGGCCGCCCCACCCCCTGTGGGGATATTTAAACAAATGTCCATATCGATCTCTTTAGCCCGTTCTCCAAAAAAAGCTATGTGATCAAGTATTAAATGTTCTACTCTGTGCCGCATCCGAATTTGAAAAAAATATCGTTTTTGATACGATATCGATATATCGGATCTAAATATATCGGCTGAAAATGTCGATGGTTAAAATCAAACATATCTATAATCATCATATTTTTATCATATTACATATCGTACATTGGGATATTTTATAACAGACATGTATATCAGTATCGCCATAAACTTTCTTAGCTCAGTTTCAGATAAATTTAATGGTTTAGTCACATTTTTTTGAACGGAATACAAATTAGACTCTTCCACAATCCTTTGAACTATTTCTGATGTAATAAAATGTGAAAAAATACTATAGGGAGTACCAGTAGTAGCCTCATCCTTCAGAATACCTGTTCAGTTCAGGTGGGTATGTAATGTCTCCATGAAAAGCTGTCTGGTCAGAATTCAAAACAATTTTTTTTACCTTCCATACGAGTCCTCTCATAGTTGCTCGGCGACTAGCTTGACTTGTTGAGGGGAATGGAACCTGTGGCACTTGATCATTTGCTGTAGCTTCATTTATCAATGGCGGGTCTCCTGCCATGAATGGATCATTATCGGGGCCATCATTTTCCTCTTCTAATGGACTCTCAAGATCGTGAAGCAAATCGTCTCCATTTTCATAAAAATTCTCATTACCTTCTGTATCCGAGTCCTCAAGATCATCTTCCGAAATCTCTCCATCATTTATTAGAGCTAAATACTCTTCTATTTGCTTTTGATTCAAGTATGGCATCTGAAAACCAATAAAAGTGATAGTTAGTAACTAAACAGGGACATTTTCTAGTAAATGCATATTGTTGCAGATTTACAACAACAAAATAAACAAAATTTCCGAACACACCAAAAGTAATATATACAGTATAACTTATAAATTGTACTGAAAAGAAGATGAATTATTACGTAAAATAACTAATTTTGTTTGAACGTACCTTCGAAAACCAAATAATTACACTGCAAAGCAAATACACAATTTTCATCCGCTCCAAAATTACGATCGGCTTTGATTTGTCAAAATCAATTTAAATTTGACAGTCGTGAAGAAAAAAAATGTGTTGCCACTCGATTAAATATATCACCATGATAGTAATAATCCTGCAACAGCATGCATTGAACTCATACTAATAATTTTATGGTCGTTTGAATGGTATGTTGCAGTTTTACTACTTTATGCATTTAAGGGTTAAAACATTGCCCTTACTTTAGGATAACATTGTCTTGTGTTGTAAGGACATTTTACAAACATAAATTACACATTGACATACACCCAGACGCGAAACGACTATCTGTGGGTCGCACGAACAGTTGTCCCGTGTGGGAATCGAACCCGCGACGCCCGTCGGCGAAGCCAATACCTCGTGCGACACGGAGCAAGAACTGAAATTGAATGTACAAAGAAACCGTCCAATATTGCAGATCGGCCAGAGACACGACGGGTTCCTGGGCCTCCTGCAACGGGCCCTGGCCAGGGCTTCGCCCCACATCTGGTTCGAGCGGTCCGAGGTGAAGGACCGCCACGCGGTAGCGAACAGGTAACGCGCGTTCGATGTATGAAATTTTTCGAGTTTCGTTCGAACACTTTCGGTCGAAATGGAAGGAAATTAGTGCCTAATCTGGTACAGGTATCGAATTTCGATCGAAATGGAAAAAGTTAGTTTCGAATAGAAATTGTTCACTTAAGGAACTTAAATGACAGTCTTTAGGAAGAAAAAAATCGAAGTCTAATATTGCATTATGATTTTAAATGAAATGATTAAACTCTTGGCGAGTTTAGTCAATTGCCTCCCTCAAGAAAAAATCAAATTGTCCCTTGGGAAACGTTGGTGTAACGCTCACGCCACGCCGTTCCAGGCTAAAGGAGCACATCTCGGTGCCGGACAACCCCCCGATCCTCATCTTCCCCGAGGGCACCTGCATCAACAACACGTCCGTGATGCAGTTCAAGAAGGGCAGCTTCGAGGTCGGCGGCACCATCTACCCCGTCGCAATCAAGTAATGCGCATTACATTACCCTAGGGATGCCGAAAAATATCGATATTTTTTATGCAATACTAGCGGACCCGACAGACGTCGTCCAGTATACCAATAAAAAAGTTGTAATGTCCCGAATTGTTTTAATGTTACCATTTGTCTTTGTGTTTTAGGGTTAGTCCGACTCTAAAAATTACAACGACGGAATAAATGTCTCGTAAATTAAGTGTGTACTCGTTGTAGGTATGATCCGCGCTTCGGCGACGCGTTCTGGAACAGCTCCCGCTACGGGATGCTGCACTACCTGCTGAACATGATGAGCTCGTGGGCGATCGTGTGCGAGGTGTGGTACCTGCCGCCGATGAGGAGGGCGCCGCAGGAGACGGCCGTGCACTTCGCCAACCGCGTCAAGGCGGCCGTGGCGCGCAGGGGCGGCCTGGTCGACCTCATGTGGTGAGCTGGGGGGGAGTAGTGGTGGATCTAGGCCGGTACCCTGCGGCACTCTAAGTGGCTGTTGGGGAGGGAATAACGGTGGACCTAGCGGGTGCCTTGCGGTACTCTACGTAGTTGTTGGGGAGGGAATAATGGTGGACCTAGCGAGTGCCTTGCGGTACTCTAATTAGCTGTTGGAAGGGAATAATGCTGGAATATTGAGTGCCTTGTGTCAACTGCGTCAAGGTGGCCGTGGCGCAAGGGCCGAGGGGTGGGGGATGGACTTGTACCCTGCGATACACTGGGTAGCTAATTAGGAGGGAATAATGATGGACCTAGCGCGTGCCTTGCGGTACTCGAGGTGACTAACTGTAGTGGAAGACTATGGCTATGGGGATGATAGGAAGAGTTAAATTATGGTGCCTGAAAGGCTCCATGCAGTGCTTGAAGTGTACAGAATCAAGGATAAGGGGATTATTTATGGGGAAGGAAATATAACTACTAATAAACAAGTAGTCCAGGTAGCTATTGGGCCTGTTGAAGATATTTCAGCCACATATGTTGAGTGCCTCGTGGCCGTCTAATAAAAATGGTGCTCCTAGGCACACGCCTTACGGCATTCGCAGGGTCTAAGGGAGTAAGTTGCATAGTAACACGATCATGAAAGACTGGTACCCTAGATGGAAGACCGTGTGGTCTACTAGAGCTATAAAAAAAGCCCTCCGCGCAGAAGAAGTGAAATTCATAATGTGGAAATGAAAATAGGAAGAGGTAGAATTTGATTTTTAGTGAAATCATATTGTGTCTTTAAGACGAACTTTATTAACATTGCTTACAATTCACAATTGGTTGCATTTTTTAATCATCATTTTCGAGTGGAGAAATATAAAAAAATATAAAATAAATTGAAACATAAAACATATTTAAATCATTCACAATCGCATGCGTTCGAGTACCACGCATTCACTCTCGCTCTGTCTCTTTCTATTCCCCCTCCATGGTAGCGTTGAACGTTTAACGCAACCTTGTTGGAAAGAAAAGTCGCATTAGAATTTTCACTTCAAACACCATCAATTCATTGTACAATTTATTAGTTCTACATGTTCCATACATATAAAATGTATGGATTTCTCCATTCATTTATTCCGAAACCACTAGTCCTACTTATGATTCCCATTCTTGGTGCATTTCGATTATCAAATGAATCTGCTTTTAAGAAGAAGATAACAGAAGTAACCTCTCAGTGTTGCCATAGACTCTAGTCTGAGGGTCCGTGGCCATGAACCAAAACTTAATTACGTCATCTAACGATGTCATTGGTACTTATTTTTTTATGTGAAAAGTTGCCAAACGAGCAGACGGTTCACCTGATGTTAAGTGAATACCGCCGTCCATGGACATCTGCTACACCCGAGGGTTGCAGATGCGTTGACAACCTTTTGCAAATTGGTGCTGTAAGAAATCTGAAAATATTCTCTCTTCCAGGGACGGCCAGCTGAAGAGGATGAAGGCGAAGAAGGAGTGGCGGGAGCTCCAGCAAGAGGAGTTCAGCAAAAGACTGAAGGGGGAGTAGACCGCGAAGCCTGTCGGGAACTGTCAGTGATCAGTGTTGTGATGTTGTGACGAACAGTTTTTTAATGTGAGCTAGTTGAAGTGGAGCTAAGGGAAGAATGAGAAGAGAGCGCGGAGCGAGAGGAAGGGAGAAGCTGGTAACGCGTGCTGGTCACTCTCCTCTCTTAACGGCCGAAAAATGTCCCATTTGTATGCCTTTTGTATACAAATACTGTGCTTCAGTCACAGTGACTTGACAAACCTATTTTATTTTCAATTAGACAAGCTATAAAGTTTTAACAGTTTCTATAAATACTGTGTAGTGTTCGCTTTATACAGAATTTTGGACTTTGAACGATAAATACTCATATTGGAAACTGTTACAAGGCATTGTATAACTAGTTTAAGTGTTCGCTTCCTCTTCAAATCAACCTTCATAGTTGGTACGGCCATGAATGCGATAGAAACGCTGTACTTTGATGAATTGTATATGATTATTGCTGCAATAATCTGAATTCTTGGCTACGGTCAACTTGAAAATTATTATATTTCGTCCGATCATTAAGTGTAGTCCAGTCCTAGATTTGATTATATTTATCCGTAAAGAAGTTCTATTGAAATTATTCTTTAAACTAGCATTAATTATATGTCACAGAAAAGGCTAAATATATGTTAATAGCATCGGTCGATTTGAAAGGAGAGTTGCCATCGCCTATTGGTATAACTCATGTGAGATGTATGTTAATTATTATCACAATATTGTATATAATGTTTACCGAAGATGTATTTTAGATGTCTACTTACTCGAAGTGTGCTGAGCGCGTGACATTGAATTCTGCCCTGTAGTTCCTTAGTTAGATTATAGTTAGAAAATTGTACACAATATAATGTTTATGAGAAAAGTCGTGTTATACATAAATAACATCCCATCACAATATTGTATTCCAGAGATAAAATGCTCCAACAACCCTCTATCTATTTTTATCTTTTATTCAACTCGAAAGAGGTTTCTTTAAATCAAATTCACTACCTGTTCACTATATTATAATTATATATATACAGGGAGGCTGTTCTAAGTGTATCCATTTTTTTTTTATTAAATTCTGGACATAAATAACGTTATGTAAAAAATTCGTATTGAAAGCACTCGTAATTAATTAATTACATTCATTTGAACTTATCTCAAAAAGTGCGTGATTTATGAGCAACTCATTTATTTTACGCGCGATCATTCATAACTAACACGCACACAAGTTCGTTTCAAAAGTATACGACGCATTTTTATTTCAAAAAACAATTATACTTCCGAGTCTCAACCTCCTGTGTGAATTAGGGCACCTTGACAAAAGCCACCCTGTATACTACGGTCACAATTTAATGTCACTATGAGTATTTGCAAAGCAATACGCGTACGGCTCGATAGCATCGAAACCGATACTATATTCTTATATTAATTGTAGTTTAAGACTGAAATGGAAACACGCAGAGTCGTAGCCACGGTGTCCGTGCGGACATGGGCAGTGGCCATTTGGGGCGCCGTAAGGCCTCACGCCCGGTTTCTGAAACACTGCTAATCGTAGAAGTTAACCAATCAGCTGTTTAGATACTAATTAGAGTTAAACATACTTTTGGCAACTTAAATAACATATGGAAAGCCATTTGAGTCAAATGGCTTCTGAAACACTGTCATATGATTTGACATTGATGCAGAAATCGGGCGTTAGTCTCTGTATCAGAATTGCAGATCTGGTTTAAGAACAAATTACTTCTTAACCTCTATTATCGTGACATCAATATGCTCCTTAAATCTTCGTATAATTCAATTATAATGCATCAATGTAATTGTATTTTCATTGTGTCTCTGTCCCTATCGGCAGTTCTGTGTAGAATTAGTGTGACATCACAATTAAACCATTCTCCAGAAAGGTGAAGAATGCCTCATGCTTACAATTTAAGAATAGTGAATAAAGCCAACCACTTGTCTCTCTCTCTTACTCATCCCAACAAGGGAGGGAGACATAAAGCATTTTGTGTCTGTCCGCTCGTTCGAATGCCATGGCTATGATTCTGTTGCGATGCAAGCAAGTATCGCCATCTTTCGAGCTAATTGTATGAAGATATCTGATCTGTTGGAGGCGTTTGTGAGCATTTTTTTTCAAAAATAATTTACTATTAACAATATGTTAATTGTAACATATTGTTTTTTTTGTCGGTAGTCAGAATAATGAAGTTTTTTAGTACATAAAATAAGCTATATACTGTTGGGAAAATATTTTGAGAACATTCAAACTATTTTTTTTTATATCTAAATGATTTTATTAGACATGACATTATGATTCCAAAAAAGGGTTGACTTATTGAAGACACCTTCAATGGATGTTAGTTCTATGTACAAACAAACTACTTTGTCTTTGTTCAGTGTGATTAGGCATAGGAGATTTTGTTTTTAAAAACTTTTTGCTGTTTCTTTGGGCAATAATCATATTATTGGCCAATCTAAATAACGATTTTATAGGAAATAAGATGTTATATATATTTAATGTCTCATCTTTTTAGTTGCATTTATTTAACACCGTTATAATTATGTTGCATTTAGTTTGATGTTTAAATATACGTTAAACATTATGTATGTATTTGGAAGCTTCTAATGGATCAGATATTTCTGCGTAACGCCGTCTAGTAAATGTTAACAGTTTTGTATAAACAACTTTTCTATTAGCCACCTGCAAAATTTACCGGAGCCGATATACCTTGAAAGGTTGACAAAAGATTTAGTTTATTGCATTGTATTTTACTTTGCGCACTCACCGGTCTCTCTTGCTACGTTCGCATTAAGACGGTTTAGTTGAATTTGGTTTGATCATGTATATATTGCCTTAGTTGAATTAGGTTACCCTTGGTCCGTTTGAGATCTGAGATCTCGGTTTAAATGTTACAGTAGACTGTATCTATTGAATTGCTCGCTTTTATACCAATTATCTGTTATTCTTTAGCCAATTGAAGGTTTTGTTAAGCGCGAGGGCGGTTAGAATAGAAATCAATACAGAAACCATTTAATAGTAATTATTTTTTATCATGCAATATTACTTTCTCCAAACAAAGCATTAGCCAATTGCAAACTGAATGTTTTCACAGAAGTTCAAAATGTTAGTAAAACAATAGTGGTTCTAGTAATGAAATACTTGTATTGTACAGCCGTGAAAATTCAATATGGACGCCACTGATGTCTATCACTAACCGCCCTCTGTAAAAAATGTGGAAAGGAGACGGCAATAGTATGTGCCGTCTCCTTCATCTTATTTAAACAATAGCTTGTCGTTGATCTCCTCTAACTTGTATAGGGGAGATTGCCCTACATATTACTAGAAATGCGCACACTGCATATTAGGCCACAAACACATCGCCACATTTAGCAGTGATTGTACTTTTAGCAGTAGTTATGCGAGTTGTATACCAAGGAGAGACCCCACAGATAGTTTTTTTAACCGACTTCAAAAAAGGAGGTTTCTCAATTCGACCGTATATATTTTTTACGTGTGTTCGCGGATACCTTCGTCGTTTATGTACCGATTTTGATAGTTCCTTTTTTGTTGGAAAAGAGATATACCTAGGGTGGCACCATGATAAGAAAACCCGGATCTGATGGCATCCCAGAGAAATCGAGGGCAATCCTCAAATGTTAGAGGTATAATGTTTCTAGTTCCCTGTTTGAAGTCGGGCTTTTTTGTTAAAAATTATCTAACCCCTAGTTAGTTTGTTTCCCAAGGAGTTGACGTTAGGCGTTGTCGCTTACAATACGATTCACATGCTGTACTCCATCTTTGTTTTTAAAAATAAAAAATAAAAAAGCAAGAAAAAAAAGAGCATCTAGTGGCCGTGCATCAATCACGTGACTTTTTTAGCATTATTTAATCCCCTCCTCCTTGGTGATACGCGGTGAGGTTAAAGACTACCCCACCCAAAATCACGTGTATTTTTTAGTTCCTACGAACAATCTTAACATTTTTAGAATATTATCTTTAAATACAGGTTTTAGAGTATGATCTAATGTTATTCTGAAATTAAGTACCGTGATAAAAATGTAACGGCGAGTCAAGGTCACACTACACACCGCTTCTCTTTTTAGCGCGTTTGACGAAAAAATAAATACACGTGATATCTTACTACACCCCCACCCCCCTCCCCCCTTGTGATATTTCGTGATTTTTGCCCTGATATGATGACAGTTATTTTTTTCCAAAAGCGCCAAATCAGTGAACTGAAACGTGTGTCGGGATCTAATACCACTTGCCCTTAACAAAACTAAATATCATCACTACATAGTATAAAACAAAGTCGTCCCGCTGTCTGTGTCTCTTTGTATGCTTAGGTCTTTAAAACTACGCAACGGATCTTGATGCGGTTTTTTTACTAGATAGAGTGATTCAAGTGGATGGTTTATATGTACAATACATTGCACCCGCGCGAAGCCGGGGCAATAAAATATTGTTAAGGCCCATTTACACGATGCCATTTTCTTGTACATACAAGAGCAATAATTGAATGCTATAAATTGCGCGCAATAATTGTTTAGACCATGCTTCAATTATTGCTTCAATTTAATTGTATACAACAGGCAAGAAACTGGCACCATGTAAATGGGCCTTTACTCAAAATATTGGGTCTTGAGCACAATCGTGTTTTAGCCAGAAGATGCAGTGTGCGCATTTCTAATGGCAGCTACGGAATTTATTGTGTAATCGATGTGTTAATTTATTGTACGCTTGTTTGTATATCATGTGATTTCTTATGTGTATAGCGTTTTTCTTTTTGTACCCGGCGAGAATCGAACCGCAGACTGTGAAGTCTGAAAGAACAGCGTTGTGTCCGTAATAAAGGATTCGTCTTTGACTGCTTTGTTTCATTGTCCTAATTATAAATGAAATAAATAAATAAAAATCACTTTACTGCCTTATGTTTATCTTATAACTAAACATGATTATGCATTAATCTTAAATTATTCATTCTTAATATTACAATAAAGGCAAAAGAAGGCGAATTTTTCAGTTTCCTTCGGTGTTTTTCTGAAGTTTTAAAGTCTGCCAAGCGACAAGTTACGTTAACAAGTCAATTTTTTACTAACGAAAAACAAAACCTACTTCAAATATCTCGCTCTGTATTCATGTTATGATTGATTTTCAAGAGCTCCCTTCGTATCTCAGGAGCCCAACATCCAATGCCAATGAAATTAATATGGGGCCACGTGGGAAGCGCCAGCTTTCAAATAAAACAAGAATCATCAAAATCTGTTCACTCAATCAAAAGTTCTGAGGTAACAAACATTAAAACAAGTATAATTTTTAACAAAAAAAAACCGATCGGAAAATTAAAAACATTGTTAATATCTATAACATTCAATGACGGCACTCGATCTCTCTGGGATGCCATCATCAGATCCGGGTTTCCTTATCATGGTACCAACCTTGGAATATCTCCGTTCCGTCAAAAAAAAAAAGAATCAGCAAAATCGGTTCATAAACGACGAAGTTATCCACGAACACACATAAAAAGAAAATATATCCTAGAACCTCCTCCCTTTTTGAAGTCGGTTAAAAAAAGTATGTACGATGTATGTAAAAAAAAAAGAAAACAATATGATCATCTATAAAAAGGAACCATAATTTTAATAGTACCGGAACTCTAGTGTCTCCACACTACTGTGGAACTGGATAATGTGGGTTACTAATTAAAATAGCCTATTTCTTTGTGTTCTTGCGTTTGAAGTTTTTTTGCCATTTCTAACCCCTGCTAAACCCGCTAAAGTTGGAAGCCGGTGTTGATTAAACTTTCACAAGGGTTTGAATTGAATAGAAATTTACTTTGTGATAGCACGCTTTTAATCCGATTGTTGTCATTTGTCCGATGCGAGACTCGAACCTAAGACAAGCGTAAAACTTGCAACTAAGAAGTGTCGTCAATGTTATTTTGGATGAGTATTGTGTTCCGATCGATTGGGGTGGTGTTAAATAAAAGGCATTTTAAGTAATATAACGGTTCTTAAACGCTTAAGAAAATATAATTGTTGTTACAATGATATAATATACAGCGTGTCGTTACCATCGCGACAATAAATGAACACACGTCTAACGCTACTTGCCAATAATCACAAAAAAATATTAACGTTAAACAAAATCTATAAATAAAAAAAAATATTTTTCAAACAAAGTAATTAAGTAAAAAAGAAACAAAATTTGTAACATCCTATACAACTCGCGTCACAGCGTCGATTACAAGCCTCTCCTTCTAACAGTATGTTTTGTCTCTTAAATTCATTCAACCCATTCATATGCTTTGTGACCTTTATAAATGTACTTTACGTTACGCTTTTATAGGTAAGGATGTTCTAAAATTCTTTGTTTTAGAAAATTTTATAACTCTGTAAATATTGATGTTTAAAGAATTAAAATATTTAATACAACTTTATAAAGTTATCCCATATATGCGTGTTCATTTATTGTCGCGATGGTAACGACACGCTGTATAAAACTATATAAATGGGTTTCATTATGCATTTATCGTCAGCGTTGCATTAAAACTCGTCGTTTTCGAACGGATGGTACTTGTGGCCCAGGGATCTGGAAGGAGAAACGTCACAGTATAGTAAAGCGGCCCACAGTTGGGCATACACCTCCAGTTGCTGGGATAACTTTCATGTGTTCCGAAAAAAAAACAGACTACAGAGTTTCGTCAGCCGAGTGAGGTAGCCAGGGCCCATTTATTAAAGGTTTGCAACTCTCGGGAGCTAGCTATAGGCTCTAACCTAATCTAACCACATCAGGTGAACCGGCAGAGCTCCTTTCATAGTAACAAAATTACCTGTATACAGATCGCTATAGCGAATTTAACTTAAATATGGTCGAATTTCGACCACTCGGCGTCCACTAGTTTAATTCATATTGAGATCATCATCTCAATATTCTTTGAATGAAAATAATTTGAATTATTATCAATAGATGGCGTTATCATTAATTAATCTACCGGTTCAATTTTAAATAAACACCTTTGATACAATACACCAATAGAACGTTAACGGTGGTAGGGCCACGCAGCAGCCTAGGCTGTTGCACAAATGGGCAGGCCAGTCCGGGTAAGTACCACGACCGCACAGAAGACCGGCGTAAAGTGGAAGTATAATACTTTCGCGTTTCGTCTGGTGAGTGAGATGGCCGGAGTCCAATTTTCAAAAGGTTGTCAACGCATCTGTAACCCTCGGGTGTGGCAGATGTCCATGGGCGGCGGTAGTCACTTAACATCAGGTGAACCGTCTGCTCGTTGGACAACTTTAAAAAAATCGTAGAGATGTGTAAACGTATGTGAGTGTTTATACAATATCGAAAATAATATACAGCGTGTCGTTACCATCGCGACAATAAATGAACACACGTCTAATGCTACTTGCCAATAATCATAAAAAAAAATATTAACGTTAAACAAAATAAAAAAAAAATTTTTCAAACAAAGTAATTAAGTAAAAAAGAAACAAAATTAGTAACATCCTATACAACTCGCGTCACAGCGCGTCATTACAAGCCTCTCCTTCTAACAGTATGTTTTGTCTCTTTTAAATTCATTCAACCCATTCATATGCTTTGTGACTTTTATTAATGAACTTTACGTTACGTTTTATACGTAAGGATGTTCTAAAATTCTTTGTTTTAGAAAATTTATAACTCGGTAAATATTGATGTTTAAAGAATGTAAATGTTTAATACAATTTTAAAAGTTATCCCATATATGCGTGTTCCATTTATTGTCGCGATGGTAACGACACGCTGTATAAAACTATATAAATGGGTTTCATTATGCATTTATCGTCAGCGTTGCATTAAAACTCGTCGTTTTCGAACGGATGGTACTTGTGGCCCAGGGATCTGGAAGGAGAAACGTCACAGTATAGTAAAGCGGCCCACAGTTGGGCATACACCTCCAGTTGCTGGGATAACTTTCATGTGTTCCGAAAAAAAAACAGACTACAGAGTTTCGTCAGCCGAGTGAGGTAGCCAGGGCCCATTTATTAAAGGTTTGCAACTCTCGGGAGCTAGCTATAGGCTCTAACCTAATCTAACCACATCAGGTAACGGCACAGCTCAGGTGAACCGGCAAAAATTACCTGTATACAGATCGCTATAGCGAATTTAACTTAAATATGGTCGAATTTCGACCACTCGGCGTCCACTAGTTTAATTCATATTGAGATCATCATCTCAATATTCTTTGAATGAAAATAATTTGAATTATTATCAATAGATGGCGTTATCATTAATTAATCTACCGGTTCAATTTTCGTCGTTAGCGGTGAAATGGTGTTAGAATGGTTAAATTCATGAAATAATTTAAAATGGTGTTTGAATCGTTAGGTTCGTACAAATAAACACCTTTGATACAATACACCAATAGAACGTTTACGGTGGTAGGGCCACGCAGCAGCCTAGGCTGTTGCACAAATGGGCAGGCCAGTCCGGGTAAGTACCACGACCTCACAGAAGACCAGCGTAAAGTGAAAGTATGACAAATACTTTCGCGTTTCGTCTGGTGAGTGAGGTGGCCGGAGTCCAATTTTCAAAAGGTTGTCAACGCATCTGTAACCCTCGGGTGTGGCAGATGTCCATGGGCGGCGGTAGTCACTTAACATCAGGTGAACCGTCTGCTCGTTGGACAACTTTAAAAAAATCGTAGAGATGTGTAAACGTATGTGAGTGTTTATACAATATCGAAAATAATATACAGCGTGTCGTTACCATCGCGACAATAAATGAACACACGTCTAATGCTACTTGCCAATAATCATAAAAAATATTAACGTTAAACAAAATCCAAACAAAAACAAACAAATTAAGTAAAAAAGAAACAAAATTAGTAACATCCTACACAACTCGCGCCACAGCGTAGCATTACAAGCCTCTCCTTCTAACAGTATGTTTTGTCTCTTTTAAATTCATTCAACCCATTCATATGCTTTGTGACCTTTACAAATGAACTTCACGTTACAGTTTTATACGTAAGGGTGTTCTAAAATTCTTTGTTTCGGAAAATTTAATAACTCGGTAAACATTGATGTTTAAAGAATGTAAATGTTTGATACAATTTTAAAAAGTTATCCCCTATATGTGTGTCCATTTATTGTCGCGGTGGTAACGACACGAATTATAGTTAAGAATAAGGGTCCACCCACGCGGTCATCGGCACGAAGCGGCCGTTGCGGTCGAAGCTGTCGATGAGGCGAAGCTCCTCGTCGGAGAGCTGGAAGTCCAGCACGCGGAAGTTGCTCTCGATGCGGGATCTGTTCACGGACTTGGGGATCACCACGTTGCCGCGATCCACCTGGTACCTGACGGTGAAGCGGTCATTTTGTTAGGTTAAGGACATTTCATCTCGAAGGGTTTACAAAAAAAAAATTTTAATCGATCAGACCGCATTTTTCGTGTCGGCTAATTTCTGGTCAGGACTGGTTTAGCGACCCACTGGTTGTTTTTAACCGACTTCAAAAGGAGGAAGTTGTCAATTCCACTGTATTTTTTTTTTATGTTTGTCACCTCAGAGCTTTCAACTGTTCGAACAGATTTTGATGGTTCTCTTTTTGTTTGAAAGCTGCTTCCCATGCCATGGTCCCACTTTAATTTCATTGCCATTAGAACTTGGTCTCCGGAGGTGCTTGGGGAACTGCTGAAAATCGATTATGAAATGGACACGGGCTGAGATATTTGAAGTCGGTTTTGTTCGGCAATAAAATAAACATCTTTTTTACTAAACGGAGTACCTACTGTTCTATCTCTGTACTAGCTACTGTATCGATGACAAAGCTCAAATAATACAAATACACTGAACAATGTGACCTGTTAACGACCAGCCAGGACCTGGGCGGTACCTTATGAGGACTTGCGCCGTACCTTATGAGGACCTGCCCCGTACCTTATGAGGACCTGCGCCGTACTTTATGAGGACCTGCGCCGTACCTTATGAGGACCTGCGCCGTACCTTATGAGGACCTGCCCCGTACCTTATGAGGACCTGCGCCGTACCTTATGAGGACCTGCGCCGTACCTTATGAGGACCTGCGCCGTACCTTATGAGGACCTGCCCGTACCTTATGAGGACCTGGGCGACTGTCTTGCCCAGGCGCTGGGCGATGGCCGCTAGCTTGGGGTCCTCCAGCAGCAGCGGCTCGTCCGGCTTCGCCCAGGGTCTGTCCGGGGAGCCCAGCGGCGAATAGGCCGTGATGGTGACGCCGTGTCCTTCGCAGAACTGCTTCAGCCGCGTCTGGGTCAGGTAAGGGTGGCACTCCACCTGGACAGGGGGTTAATGAGACTGACAGACAAACATAAATGAACACACTTCTAAGAGTTCTCAGCTGAATGATTCATACTGGTCACATAATGATTGCCACAGCGTCAAATTACAAGTATCTCTTTCTAACAGTATGTTTTTCTCTTTTAAATTCATTTAACCAATTCACACGCTTGTGACCTTTACGAATGAGCTTTAAGTTACAGTTTTATTCGTAAGGGTATTCTACAAGAAGACCCGAATGGCGTTGTGGGTAGTGTACCTGCCTCCTGCGCCAGAGGGCGTGCGTTCGATCCCCACTACTGGATAAATATTGTGGGATGAACATACTATTTTCTAGTGTCTGGGTGTTAATATATGTATTTATTCACAAAAGAAAAGTATGTTTAAGTATGTTTATCAGTTTTCTAGTACCCATAGTACAAGCTTTACTTAGTTTGGGACTAGAGAATGATGTGTAAAAATGTGTCTTGAAATATTTATAAAAAAACAAAAAAACTATTTGTTTTGGCAAATTTAACTCTGTAAATATTGATGTTTAAAGAAAGTAAATATTTAATACAATTTAAAAAGTTATCCACTATATGTATGCTGATTTAATGTCGCGTTAGTAGCGCCACGATGTATATGTCCCACAGCTGGGCAAAGGCCTCCTCTGCACCGACGGTTTTAGGGCATAATCCAGTGACTACGCGAATTGATATATATTGGAAATATTTTTTCATTATCATTTCGAAAATATGCTTCAGGATTCGTGAGTAGTCGACGTGAGACTGGCGGCTGTTCGTTAAAAAAAGGCCTTGCCGATACAGTTTACAGACAGTAGAAAACAGAAAACCAATTATTGCATTCACTCAATATCAGCTACGAATGTTGCCATCGATTGCAATTTTAAGGGCAATATTTACTAATGCAGAAATCAGTTCAATCAAGGTACATTTCAAACATTTCGCGGTTCGCGTATCGATTTTCTGGTCCTTCGCGCCGGATACCACTCACCTGGTTGGTGACGGGCTTAATAGTGGCGTGTTCCAGCAGTCTGGCCAGCTGCTTCGAGTTGAAGTTGGAGACCCCGAGGCTCCTCGCCAGCCCCTCCTTCTGCAGCGGCTCCAGGGCCTTCCAGGTGTCCACGTAGTCCACGTCCGAAAATTGTATCTTGCCCGACTCGTCCGTCGGGAAGAGGTCGCCGCCCTCCTGCGGGGCAAATTCATGGTCGCCGAGCTTAAATTCTGTGCGTCTTGTTCCACTTATAGTATGTAATGCTCAAGTTGAAGTATGATGACTCCAGCTTCCGCGTCGGGGGTCGTGGGTTCGATTCCCATACGGGACAACTATATGTGTGACCTACAGATAATTTTTTATTCTAAACTAAGGGCTATGTTATTTTTTTATGGTTGAATTTTTTCCTACTTAGTTGACAATTATCATTACCCATATTTTAGTATAATATTAATAAGGAAGCAAGGATATGAAACTTTCTCTAAAAAAAAATTGTCGACCGAAAGTTTCGCGGAATTATTAAAGAAACTCGGATAAAAAGGATGTCGAAACGTAAGGATAGAGAGGAGATAAGAAAGAAACAAAAGATCTCATCACGGTGGGTGAATTGTCACAGCCACCACGAGTGGACAGTCGATTTGGTAGAGTGACATCGTCAGGGTTACCTTGTACGCTTGAGGCCAGTGTATCAGATACAGATCCACGTACTCCAAGTTGAGGTTCTTCAGGGTCTCGAGGAGGGCGCCGCGCACCAGGTCAGGCCGGTGGAAAGTGTTCCACAGCTTCGAGGTGATGAACAGGTCCTCGCTTATCAGAAAATAAGGTATTTCGGAAACATTTCTACACAGCGTTCTCCAGTCCCAAACTGAGCAACGCTTGTACTATGGGTACTAGATAACTGATATACATACTTAAACATACTTTTATTTTTTTTGAATTAATATATATTATGCATATATAAATATCCAGACACTGGAAAGACACTATGTTGATCACACAATATTCTTCCAATAATGGAGATCGAACCCACAGACTCTGGTCAATTACTCCCCACGCCAATCGGGTCGTTGACAATGAAGATATCGCCAATACTCGAGTGTTAACAGAGAATAAGAAAACTAACTCGATAAAAAGAGCTTACAGAATTAAAAATCAAATTAAATAATAATTGTTTTACAATTCAATATCAAATTGAAAATTGCATGCTGAATTCAACTGAATGTGTTGCACCAAATTATGATAATTAAATTCACAATGTACTACCATATTCTGGCAATAAAGTCATTCATTCATTCATAAATTCATTCACCCATTCATTCATTCATCCACCGCTCACCGTTTCACCACGCCCTCCTTGATCTTGGCGGTGATCGCGTCCCCAACCTCCTTCTCGTTGCCATAGACGTACGCGCAGTCTATGTGACGGTAGCCGATGTCTATGGCGTCCTTCACGGCCTGCGTCACCTCGCCCGGCTTCGACTGAACGGAAAACGTTGTAAGCAATCTCTGGGACGACCAGGCCCCCATGGAATACAAGGAGTATCCATGTATGAATTAAAAATATGAATCGGTGGGATTATAACATTTTTAATGTTGAGTTTTAACCGTGCTTCTCTTTTTTTATGTGAAAAACTTCTCACGCCAAGCGAGCAGACGGTCCACCTGATGTTAAGTGAAAACCGCCGCCCATGGACATCCGCTACACCCGAGGGTTGCAGATGCGTTGACAACCTTTATGAAAATTGGGCTCCGGCCACCTCACTCACCAGACGAAACGCGGACGAAAGTATTATACTTCCACTTTACGCCGGTCTTCTGTGAGGTCGTGGTACTTACCATACGAGCCTGCCCGTTCGTGCCACGCAACAGCCTCGGCTGTTGCGTGGCCCTACCACCGTATCTCTGCACTTAAGATGAAACGCTAAAGTTTGGCAATCGGCAAATTAGCTTAGTGGCTGGTCTGGGCGCTTTAGCAGAAGACACAGGTTCGAATCCCGCGGCGGCGAAGAGATTTTCGTTTAATTCTTACAAGTTTTAAAACCGTAATGCATTCAATCTCTGCCTCTGTGGTAGGCCTTAACAAGCACTTGTGATTGTTTAGGCCTCATGTAATAATAATAAACCATGCTTAATAATAATTTATAGTAATAATAATAAACCATGCTTAATAATAATTTATAGTAATAATAATAAACCATGCTTAATAATAATTAATAGTAATAATAATAAACCATGCTTAATAATAATTTATAATTTAATAGGTCAATCTTATTAACTGTATTAGTAATTTAATAAGTGCATTGATCTATAATGCAGTTTTGATGACTCATTATATTTTTGTATATAAGCGCATAATGGTTCAGTGATAGGGTAGAACACTCTTATCCTTTGTATAGGACGTTATTCTGTCCTAATAAGTAGGAAGTAGTCTAATTAATATATAAAGTTGTTTACGCTATCCTCACTATTTTATTTTGGCCGACCAACCTACAGTCTTTAATACAATCTTGGCTTATCTGAAGTACTCACAAATGTCAAGGCCCTTGGTTCTCCCTTGTATAGAGAACTGACAGAAGCAAAAATTAAGTTGATTTACCCAAATGCTCATTGTATTGTGACCTAATAAATTAAATAAATCATAATATCAAATACAACCAAAATATAGTTGTAAAATTAAAGCAAATTATCTGTTTTTATGCCTAAATGAGTAAATTATGATTAAAGTGTGTTTAAGTCTTTATTAATAGCTAATAGATAATGGGAATCTGTATTATTTCCTGATACGTGAATGATTCCACAATAAATAAATACTCCATAATATATGTTAGATAAAATTAATAGTTCAATAAATCAGTTTATTACTACTAAGATTTGTGTGCTCAATCATTAGGAATTAAATATATAATATCAATAAACTAAATGTCTTATATTTATATCGGAAACATTATATTATTATAAAATTAAAGAAATTGACACTTCGGTGTTTGACTTTGCACAAATATAAAAAAAAATGCTACATTGGCTTTATCTTAAACTTGAACTAATGACCCTGTAGACTACTGCCAGCATAACTAAATGTATTTTATGCTACCTATTTAATTCTGAGATAACATTACGTCTTCCTTAAACATTCCAGCTTATCAACACAAGTATTTTACGGTAACCTTTGCCGCACCCAATGTGGTGTAAAGTTATCTATTCTATTTTAATACGAAAATTCATCAATTGGAGTTGTATTATCATACAGTATTACAATATGCAATAGTACAGTTTTGATAAAGCTCCGATTGACTACTTAACGAGGTAAATCTTAGATAGATAATAAATTACTTATATTAAAAAAAATCAGACAGGAGACTAGACTAGAGTCCTGTCTATGACTATGCTATAAATTAAACATAATTAAATATGGGAGGAGGCCTATATTCCACAGTAGGCTAAAAAAGACAGAAAGATGATAATTTTAAAATATAAAATACCATAAATATACTCGATACTTTGGAAATGCTTTAATATAATTAATAAATTAAATTTTACATATATCCAATTTGAAGATATTCATTTATATTATTATAATTTCGCTTTTAAGTGTACCGGCAACACTTGATAAACAAACAAATATGTATTTAATATTTTTAGCATCTCATAAAAGAATTACATTAATTATAATATCATTATATAATTCTTAATGTGGGATAAATATGTTAAAGTATAAACATATGTGTGCAGATATTTTGATTTGGTTTTAAATATTTTTAGCACTCCTATGACAAAAAAATATAATATTAGCCCAAATTTTATTCATTAATATCATAGAACAGGAAGTTATCTAAAATTAAGGTTTTCTTGTAGTCCCAGGCACTGCTGTGGGGAACTTAATTATTTACCTTTATCATGTTATTATCTATCAATTTGTGTCAATAATCTATATTCTCTATTAAATTAGCTATGACCACCGCGTCAAGTCTCACTTTCACAATATAACTATATCAAGAAATAGGAATTAATAATAATTAATAAACCAAGTCCCGTATTTACCTTCCATGTCCCGATACCAATTATCGGACATTCCAAGCCATTGTTAAATTTCACTTTGGGAACTTTCGACGCCATTTCAACGTTATCGACTCGAGCAATGGACAACAATATCGAAAGATTTGACTCCTAACTGATAATAAATGATTAAGTATTCTAGTTAGAATCTGTCTTTAAAGTTTTATGAATGTTTACTTCTTCTTCTTCTTCTTTTTATTAATGGCTTGCTTTGTGAGTTATCACAATTACGCCAATGTCAAGTTGTTCTTAAAATTCTCAATTTTATAATATTCACATTAAAATTGTAATAGGCAAATAAAAACTTCAAAAAAAAAAAACGAATGTTTACTTGCTTGACAGTTTAACAAATTGACAGAAAGTGAAACACCATACCGGCTACCGGCGAAAATAAACTTGAACGCATGTTTATTGATGTCTTAAATGTTAATTATTTTATTCCTCTAATATTTACACGATTTTAATCTATTTAAAATTATGTAATAAACCTAATCCACGCGGCATGGTGCCAAGAATGCTAGCTGCATTTCCTCGATGAATAGTTATGCTTAACTTTTAAGCGAGAAAAGAACCAGCTTTCTTGTCACCGGCCGTGACATAAACTTTTGACTAAAAATTTTGATGTGCACCACGGACCTAAAATTGCAACAGCAAATGGCACAAATGCATAATCTGAACATAAAGACTCATATTTGCGCCATTTACTTATTTCAGCTGCCTCAGATACCGCCCCCGCCCTGACCGAAGTACCCCTTAGATGAGAGCCAGCCAAAGTGTCTACGTAAGTAGCGTCCCAAGGGATCAAAGTTAAACCGTCGGATCTCTTACTATCGTCGCGAAAAATGCCACAGGGCTCTAAAATAGATGGAACATTGATGGAAACAAGAGCCCTACGGATGATGTCGTTCAGGGAACCGTGGCAAGAAAAGCAGCCAGTACTTTTTTGACAAGAAAGCCCGTGGAGACCAATTTTGTCTACATTGACACCACAAGGGCATCGGTGTGGTTGACAAATCGGTGTCCCCAGACGGATTCCTACAGCAATGCGTAAGCTTTCATCATCAAATAATGTGCCGAAGTTACTTGATGGTAAAGCGTGATGCCAATAATTCGATTCGGAAACGGGCACGCTCTAAATTACTTTCTTAAGATTGAAACATATCTTACTGTACTCTCTGCACCAAAGGAAAATTCCACTGTCTTGTAGGTTTACATCCAGTGGGATAGTTTAGCCAAGACATCCTTGCCTCCTCGGCTAGGAAACTTCTTAATTGTTATTAAGGATATTATTACATAAATCAAAGCAAGGAAGGCAGGTAGAGGGACACTTGAAATTTTCCTTACACCAATACCACCAAAACAGATTGGCAACGTAGCTTGAGTCCAGCTTATTTCATTAAGTAATAAATTTAGAATATAAAATTATTTATGTCTAGAATTAAATAAAAAAAAAATGGATACACTTAGAAAAGCCTCCCTGCATATATATAGGACCCACTAGCGCACCTAAACTGAGGCACTAAAATTATAGCAATTGTTGTAATTACATTGCAACAATGTCACAATCACTTTTATATGTCATATAATGTTAAGCGGAACAATTTTTAAACGCCGCACAGTATGGACATGCGTCATCTTTTTTAAAACATCATTGCCTGCCATTTGCGTACATAGCATAACCTTACTGCATGTGTATCCTGGTTTCACTACAGTCTGTAGAGCTTGATTGACCTTTGACTAAGATGTTTTTTGCTCGTGTGCGGTGACAGGTAATTGTTCCGCACCCGGGCGCTCGTTCCCAATAAGGGTTGAAGTGAAGTAGGGGGCCAGTCGTAAAAATAACTTCCTCGTCATCATCATCACTTCAGCGTGTTCGAGTCCACTGCAGAACATAGTCCTCCCCCACAGATTACTACGATCTTGAGTCAACTGCATCCATCGACTTCCCGCACACTTGCGCAGGTCGTCACTACCATCTAGGTCGTCAACTTAGCTAATACCATTTACAAGATTGACATGTTGTGACGACCCCACCCAAGTGAGATAAAGGAAGAAGGAGAGGATGCAGTATATTTTTAGTACCTTTTGAAAATTGGCCACCTCACTAACCAGACGAAACGCGAAAGTATTATACTACCACTTTACGCCGGTCGAGCCTGCCCATTCGTGTAACAACCGAGGCTGCTGCGTGGCCTTACCACCGTGAATCACTTAGTAAGTCTCTGTGGTGGTGAAGGCAATAAATTACTAACCGTAAAAAACCCGACCCATCGACCAGGTCGAGGTACATACCACTATACCCACATAAAGAGCTAACTTACATGACCTATTAGTTCACCCGTCTACCAGCATGACAAAACGAAGCCTATGAGGTTGCCTGGAAGAAATTACTTTTAGTTATAAGGCCACCAATTGTACATATCATT